TCAACCTGGGCACAACCAGCCTTCTGACACAGCTAATGCTCTGTCGTGGAGCCCCACGTGGTGACGGGGCCAACAGTAGCCCCAGCCTCTCCCCAGTGGACACCTGGCCCAGGTGTGACAGCCACCACTGTCTGTGAGCATTGCCAGGATCTGGGCCCCGGGGAGCCACAGACCTGGCAACACAGTCTTGCCCTTAGCCCCCAGGTGGCGATGGAGGAGGGCTGGAGCAAGCGCAGAGCCAGGACCATTCACCTGTGCCCCGCAGCACAGCTTAGCGAGGCCCTCCGAGGCCCACCTCTTCTACAAAACTTGCTCAAGAAGTGGACATGGCAGAAACACGCATCTAAGAATGAGGTAAAGCGTGTTTGGGTAGTAGTGGGACAGCTGACGGCTCACTGGCTCTCCCGACCCAGTCTCCTGCCCGTGAGGTAGAGCAGTGTGCTCCTTGGAGGACTGAGCGCACCTCAGTGCGGTAGCCCCCACCCCCACCCCCATGGGAACACAACCAGGCTGCGGAGGCGAGAAGGGGGAGCACCGTGGTCAGATGTGGGCAGCTGGGGCACAGCAGGGCACAGACTTTAAACAAGCCACCCTCTGCTTCGTTCTGGAACAAATCATGCCGCCGACGCACCTGAGTGCCACGCTCACCACTGTTGCTTTCGCGTGGGTGATGTGTTAGACCCCTGAAGCAATTCCGGAAGTTAGTTCTCATTAATGACCTGGCCGTCCTATCAAGCGGCAGTATGGTGGGGTGGAAAGAGAGCTGAGGAGGGGACAGCTCCTTCCAGCCTTTCCTGGCTTTCATGTGGCTGCATGGGAGCCCTGGAGACACCACAGGACCTCAGTTTCTCCATCGGGGAAGATGAAAGAGAGGGTGAATTACAGGCACTCCGGTGCCCTTGTTGCTCTGCAAAGCCGCCTTACGTTTGGGCCGCCACATCCTACTGGCAACTTGAAAGAGAAAGACCATATAGCAGAGAAAGAGAGCAGCAAACTTGGTTTTGAGAAAAGCAAAGGACGTAAAGAGTGCAGGCCTTCAGGGTTCCCAAAGCTGTCAGACCTTCAGTTCAGTTCTGTCTTCCCAGCAACAGGCACCCCCCGGGAGGGGTCCCATCGTGCTGCAGGGCTTGGGCTGAAGGTTCCCCGGAATCTGCTCAGCTCCAAGAGCCTCCCAGGGAAGGAAACAGTGCTGGAACTGGACACATGAGGAGAAGCTGGTTGACTGTGGTCCTACTGGAGGTCGGAGCTGTCTGGAGCTCTCAGGACTCAGGGCAACGCCATCTTAGGAATCTGTGTGGCATGAGGAACGCTGTGAGTTGGGACCGGGAAACTGTGAGAGCAGAGTAGCCTTGGCCCAGGATGCCTCTGAGCACAGGATGGGACAGGGGAACAAGGGCAACAGGCCTAATCTCTAGGGGGTCGCAGTGCAACAGAACATTCTATGGCTCTGCAAATGTTCTCCTCTGCACTGTTCACTGCAGGAAGCAGGGCCAGGAATGGCTCTTGAGCGCGTGCTGTGTGGCTGCTGAAATCTCAGTGTATTTAAATGGGAATGGCAACATTTAGCCACTTGCTGCCACACCCAGCAATGTGGCTCCACAGCGAACAAAGGGAGGCGGGCAGCACCTTGCTCCTGGCTGTTGGGATGCAGCCGAGGTGCTTTGCGTTTGCTTGAGCCTCAGTTGGGAGAAAGCCTCCTGAAAAATTCCAAGGACAGGGTGACCTTGCGAGAGCTGATAGAAGGGAGTGAAAGAGTTTCTAGTCCAATACAGAAGTTACATTTCTTATTATATAGGTCTGGCCTTATCTTGGCCTTAACCATCCAACAGAAGAGTATAAAAACGAGGTATAAAAAGCAAAGCCATATTAATATGCTGAGCTGTAAAAGGCTCAAGTCAACCACTTCTGACCTTGCCAGTCCTGCAGATAACCCACTACTATTATGGACTACTGGACTATATTGGATTATTTTGCTGAATTCATGTACCTACAATATTTAAATGGCAATGGAATAGCCTTCTCCAACAAAACTAAACAAAAAAGGGGATACAAATGAAGAACCATCCAGTAGAAAAGTATGAAGACGAAATATAGGAAGTAAAGCCATGTTATTATGTTGAGCTGTGGGGGACTCAGGTCAATAATTTCTGACATTGCCAGTTAAACAGAA